TTCTGTGGGTAATGTATTTGAGTGAGACTGAAGGGGTGGGACCTTGTGCAGAAAGTGAAGGGGTGGCCTCAGCTAAGAGCATAAACATCCTTTGCATTGGGGTAAGGCAACACCTGTGGGCACAGACGCAGGTAGGGGAAACCACGCAATGGGAGAAGCTTGTGGTCATTATTTCCTTATTACTTCAAGGACACTGCTCCAAAAATTCTTCCTTCCTCTACCTGTTTTCCCACTCAAATGAATAATTTGTATTAGCATAACAACGTGCAATTATTTCTCCCTCCTTAAAGAAAAAGAACTCTTTCTTGACTCACCTTCTTACTGCAGTTATCATTTCATTTCTTTCCTTTCCTTTATAGTGAAGCTCTTTGAAAGAGTTACTTACACATATTGTCTCCGTATTTTCTCCTCCCTTCTGTCCTGAACACACTTTAATGATGCTTTCACTCCCACCTCTCCACTGAAGCTTCTCCTGTTCAGCTCACCCAAACCCTCCACATTGCTAAACCCAATGATAAAATTTCAGTCTTGATCTTACTCACCCCATCAGCAGCATTTGACACGGTTGGGTTGATCACTCCCTCCCTCCTGAAACACTTTCTTTCAGGCACCACACCCTCTAGATTTTCCTTTAGCTCCTTGGTGGCTCCTTCTTAGTCTCTTCTATTGGTTCTTCTTTAACCTCCAAATTTGTAACACTGGTGTGCCCCACAGCTCAATCCTTGGAACTCTTTTCTATTTGCAATTATTCCTTTGGAAATCTCATCCAAATGTATATTGCTAGCCCATATCTCTCCTCAAATTCCAGTCCCTTCTATCTTACCCAACATCTCCACTGAGATACCTCAAACTTCACAAGTCTACAACGAGACCCACCCTTCTCCACATCCACATAAATGGCAACTCCTTCCTTCCAGCTACTTAGATGAACACCATATGGCAGGTGAACAGCCTGTGACTCTTCCCTCTCATACTACTCATTCAATCTGTCTGCAATTCTCACCAGCTCTACTTTCTGCCCTTCTCAGCATCTTCTCAGCTATGTGCTTGACCAAGTCACCAACATCTTTCCCAGATACACACAACAAATCTCGTAACTAGTCTCCCTGCTTCTGCCCTTGCACCCCTTCCCCTCCTGCAGTCTAATCTTACCAGGCAACCAGAGTGACCTTAATAAAACAGAAACCAGATCTTGTCTCACCTCTACTCAAAACTCCCAATGGCTTCCCATGTGACTCAGAGAAGGGCTAAAGTCTCCCAGGGACTGCTAAGGTCCAATGTCATCCAGCTTCCCTTGTCTTGCTGGTACAATTTCTCACTATTCTCCACCTTGCTCGATTAACTCCGGTCATATTGGTCTCCTCATTGTTCCAGAAACACACTAGGCATGCTTCTGTCTCGGGGCCTTTACACTTGCTGCTCTCTTTCCTTGGGAGAGAGGCTCACCTTTGCCAACTTTTATAAAATTGCAAGCCCCTTTCAACACTTCCTGCTTTACTTTTTTCTCCTTAGCACTAACTGATATTTTATATATTTTATTTATTTGGTTTGCGCTTAAGTTCCAACAAGGTAGGGGTTTTTGTCTGTTTTATTCACTGCTGAGTTCTTAGTGCTTAAAGCAATTCCTGGCATAGAGTGAGTATGCAATAAATATTTGTTGAATGAATTAACTATCATGAAGATGGTATGATTTATCTAATGACAGTTATTTTGTAAACACTGTAATGGTAAGCATCTTCCCCAATGATCCACATGACCATCAGAGGGAGGGTCCTCCACTATTAATAGAACTGTTACTAATACATTCTAAATAATTCAAAGGCATCCATGATTTGACTAGTTATATAAAGGAAACAATAAACCTCTTATTGATGACAATGATTTCAAGATAGGTACGAATGGATCAATGATGGACACAGAATTAGAAAAACATATATCTAAAATAGAAAACGTGAATTAATAAATACAAGTTTACCTTTAAGAAGGGAATCACTTAAAATAAACAAAAACTAAGAAGCAAATCACTTGGACTTAATGATGGGAACTTTGCTGTGAATTGGTTTCTCTGGGCCAATATGAAAGCTGAGTTACAGAATATTATAGACCCAGGGTGCCAAAGCAAGCACTTAACCTACTGACCAATCAGACTGGAGGAAAAGTTTTAAGAAAGATTAAATTTGACTGTGTCCTCACTTCGATCATGATTAAAGATTCTACTAATTAAAGATGTGTTTCTTGAAATTGAATGTTAAAAGAGATAAGAACTCTCTCATGTTAAACTGAACTGCAGAGCTTGTCTGTACCTATTTGGAAACATAAACTTCTGCCTGTGAAACATGTTTCCCATAATTGTTGGATATTATGACACGCAGCTAATGAAGAAGGTACTAATAATTCATAAAATGTACTTAGTATTAATCATTTTGGATGTACATGGATTCATAGCAAGCTCCCTGGGGTTTTCTTTTTTCTTTTCTACCTTGAACTAAAATTTTTTGTTTTATGCCCTACAAAAGATAGGAGTAATTTTTGGATGCTGAAATAGCTATTAAAATTGTTGTCTCTTTGTTGTGGCTGTTTATAAAATACTTGATTTAAATGAAAGTGCTTCTGATGGTCTCTAAATCTCATAACACAATGTAGATATGGGTTTGTTTATTATTCAACCAAGGGACATTTTATTTAATTATTTGTGACAGGGAAGAATTAATTTACCTACAGTTTCCTGCTGCCTCCCAAGCAAGAGAACCCTTTTCTTGCTGAGCTGGCTGAAGCCATGAGGATGTAAAAGAGAGCTCAGGGGCTGAGATAGACAAATTGTGCCACTCATGCAAAGGCTGTGGCAGCAGGGCGAGACTGGAGCCAGCAGTGGGAAAAGCTGCTTTAGAAGAAGGTTCTAGAAAGAGGAAGACCTAGTTGTTGGTAGTGTATAGAGGATTGTGGGAAAAAGGGGAAATAGGAAAGCTGCTGCCCAGAGAAAAACTCCTAAGAGAAAATGGGGTGGGGAGGGGGAGCAGGAAGAGATGCTTAGATAAATTTTGATGAAGTGTTGCCATATGGTGACATCACCCTTTTTCCAACTACTATTTCTCCTATACATTAAAATAAATAACTATTTTTTAAAAAATATTATTTAAAAAATTTATAAAAAAATTATCTGTATACAACCACAATCATGCAAACAATCCAATCATGGTCAGTGCTACCCTGTACAGCACAACTATGCAATAGGCAGACTAGTCTTCTTCCTCAACTACCCGCTCAAATTCTGGTAGCTGAATACTACAGGATAGGTGAGGTTTTAGGATACACAATAGGAGATTAGTCATCTCTCTAGTAATGTATATTATTTGCAAAAGTATTAGGCTTTTTGAGTTTTTACTAGTAAGACAGGAAATGACAGTAAGAATACCTATGTAGAAGAAGCCCTAGGACGGAGAGAATAGCTACGAAGCTTCAGATATAAATCTTTCATTCAATGAACAAAGCTATCTAGTTTTGATGGAAATCAAAACGTTGACAGAACGAATCAGAGGAAAGACTTCCATTATTTCAGATCATGTGACAATTCAGATCTATTTCTTTATATAAAAATTCAGCCACTTAGGAGTAGGAACAAAGGACAAAGAAATGATTTTAAGGATAAAAATATTAATGTGCTATTAATGTTAAAAAACAGAGTACACAATTCTCTCAGTAAGAACTTAAAACACCTAGATTTATCAAAGGAATGCTCCATTGGTATAGGAATGATGTTGTGGAACCCCACAAAGGTGGAAAAGACAATATATTTAATTCTGCTGGTTGCTCCAGGGGAACTTCTAATTGAGACAGTCTTTTGAGTAAATTGGTTCCACTTTCCTGAGAATAAGAACCTGTTCCCTTGAGGCTACATTCTTCTCACCATTTTTCCTATTCTTTTTCTGGAGACATTCCAGAAAAATACTGCTTCTGTGTTATAAGTGTTAAAGAGTTGAAGTCAGCCTACCAGATCTGGGAAAATCCCATTTATTTGAAGTGTCCCAAGATCAGCATGACAAGTGTGGGGATAACATCGCTCTAATATCTGATGCCTCGATATGACCTTCAGGTTGCATGAACTGCAACATGCACCATACAAAGAAAAACCTGGATGTCTGACTTCAAAGATCTATCCCCCAGCCTTGAGCAGCAGAATCAGAAGCAAACATCTTTAACTGCCAATATGTTCTTCATAAGAACAATAATGTCTATGATAAGCTCTGGAAGCTCTGCACAATGTTTAGGGAAAATCTGAGAAGAGTTACATACTTCAGTCATCAGAGCCAAGTTCTACAAATGCACACAGTATTTCTGGGCACACAATCCCATCATTGATCATTATCAGAGGCCTGGCTGGGCCTCTTGTACCTTTCTTACTTAGTTCTTCCTTAAAACTCCCCATGCAGAGAAGACAGAGGGAAGGAGGAGAGCCAAACACTGGTAAGGTAGCTCTTGAGCTTGGAAACCTGATAAAAACAACCTGAATGTCTCTGAAAACTAGAATCATTTTGTAAGCTCCAGCTGTTGTTGGCCAAATCAGCCAGACAGTCTTTTCTGTGCAAGGATGCCCAAGCTCATTTTGTTTCCTGAAATACAAAAAGTGCTTCGGTGGGGGTGGGAGGGAGCAGTAACTGCATTTCATCCAAAGTTTATTTAAATCTGTATTAATAGAACACTCCATTCACATATACAGAGAAAGAGCAGATGTAAGAAGTCAGGTGAATAGTCACACTATGAAACAACCCATTTAATTGGAATAGATCATTTTGATTTTCATGGAACCATTTGGCATTAAAATGCTCTCAGGCAAATTGTGCTGCAAAAGTTGAATTGCTAGAACATTCTGCAAACACTGAAGATTGGCAAACTCTGACCAAATGAAATGTTTGCTTGGCATAATGACTAATAGCTTATTTTTAAATTATCTCTTGATATAAGTAAATGTATATATTTTTTTCTAATTCAAGCAAATGATTTACCTCTTTCTCCATTTGTAATCCTTCTGCTCTAATATTTCTTTCAAATACTTCTCTCTTTTCGGTCTGGGGACTGGATTTTCTGTACACAAGAATGTAGTCAATTCGACACTTTCCGTCTCTAAAGTAAAGTCCATTTGATTTGTTTCTTTCTGGTACTGTCTGCATATAAAGAGAAAGAGACCACTTTGAGTCACTCATAAAACTGAGCTTCAGGTGAGTAATATTAAAGAAAAATTAAAACTAAATATCAAGGGTTCAGATCCCTGTACTACCCAGCCACAAAAAAAAAAGCAAAGAAAAAAAAACTAAATAATTTTTTTCATTGTGTTTTATTAAAATTACATTTTCATTAATGAAAAATGTAAACAAGAGGAAACAAATAAGATAAAAATTGGAAGCAGCAGTCAGTCAAATGGGCAAAATGCAAGACATCTAGAAATACCAAGCACTGTAAGGACGTGGAGCAACTGAGAATTCTCATATTCTATAAGTGTGAGTGAAAACTTATACACGCACTCCAGAAAATAATGCACTGGCATTATCTTGTAAAACTGAACATCTGCATAACATACAACCCTAGAGAAATTCTTGATAAGGCAATGAGGACACATGTATATGAAAACTTACAACAGCATTGTTCATAATAGAAAATTGTTCATGGACAGGCAATAAATAGATTAATAAATTGTAGAAAAGTTATATAGCAGAATATTATATAGCAGTGAAAATGAATGAACTATAGTTGCATCTAACAATAAGAATGAATTTTTAAAACAATATCGACAGAAAACAAGTCACAGAAGACTTTATACCATAATACCATTTTTTATAAAGCATGAAATAAAATAAATCTAAAAATAAGATTACATATGTATACAGTAAAAGTAGTTTTAGAGCAAGAGAGTAAAAGACAAAATTTCAGGAAGGTGATACCTCTGGTAAGGAAGATGTATGAGACTGCAAGTAGCTTTGATGGTTTTAGTAATATCCTAGCTCAATGTTTCTCAAATTTTTTGCCCACAATAAGAAAAACATTTTACTTTGTTATCCTTGTGTGCATATGTAAACACACATATACAAAATATTTGAAACAACAGTTTCATAAAACAATACTTACCCTTTCTATTTGCATATACTCTAGTATTAATTTTCCAGTCAATTAAAAAACAACTGGAATTAGTAACATGCGATTAGGTGCCACCATAATTTAAAAATACTATTCTAGGTTCAAGGTGTTCATTTTATGATTATGCTTCATAACTTACATAGAAGTTACAAATATTATTTTGCAGTAATTAAACATTACATATATAGAAAAGTAAAGAACAAAAAGAGTGGGTTGAATTTTCATCCAGGCTTGTTGTAATAACATACAACACTGAAAGAGACTATCAAGTGGGGGCGGGTCAGGCTAGAGCCAAGTTTCTCAGGCTAACAGATTTCAAAACTCTGTCTGTAAACCCAGCCAACTGGAAATGGGGGATCTACCTTTTATCTAGGCCACAGAATACAAATTTTCCAAATGGTAGTACTAAGAAAGCAAACATGCCAAGCTCCAAGGCTGTTAGAAACCATACTCTTGTGCCATGTCTGCAACCTCATCCAAGAGAAAAATCTCAGCCAGGAGAAATGGAAGTGCCCACATCCCATGTCTTGGAACAGATGTTTTCAATTGATGACCAATTCTCACTATTTTTTGTCTTTTGCCTTGAGACACTCAGGACTCTACCTGAATAAACATTTTATTGACAGTTATTTGCCAAGAAAGGAAACTACCCTGTGGATTTGGCATATCAGCACCTGCCTTCAAAAACAGGGCTTCAGGGCTGGGAGCGCCGAGGCCACAGGTTCGGATCCTATATAGGGATGGCTGGTGTGCTCACTGGCTGAGCGCGGTGCGGGAGGGTTGCGATCCCGTTGCCGGTCAAAAAAAAAAAAAAAAAAAAAAAAAAAAAAACAGGGCTTCAGCCAAGACATCAGGAGGAGGCTTGACCCTGAGCAGAACAATGACCTTTTGCCACCTTCAGCAAAGGTCTCAACTTTCTGAGACTGTTTCCTCATCTGTAATTTAAGGGTATGATGCTAGTTGCTTTCTGAGGTTCCTGTCAAGGTTCCTTCATTATGCCATATTATGGCACCCTCTAAAAATCTATGTAAAGAGATCATGACAATGAGTTTTTTTTCCTTTACACACACACACACACACACACACACACACAGATGGTAGCATACAGTATTTATGGGGAGAGGTCTGCAAAGCTTGGAAGAAGTAAACAATTTTCCCTGTTCAGAGGTCTCATCCTTTCAAAGGTAAACTGGTTCTGGAATAACAAAAACAATAGGAATATGCAATAAATAAATACTCTGATTCTGTGTGCCTATTACCTGTACCTTGAACATGTACAAAGGAGATTTTAAACTCCACTGAGATACAACTTAAGCAACAGGGAATGTCTCCAACTTCCTTTTCCAAAATGACACATGAACAGAAGGGCTTATTTACAATTGCAATGAAGTTTCCAGATTACAGAGGCAAATGGAAACTCAGAGAGGCTTCGGACAACCCAGTCCACTGAAGGCTGGTGCATTTTATGTCATTATTCTATGTGCTGGAGGACTTGCGCAAGGAAGTCCATCCTTGTAAAGTTTACTTTTTACGAGTTAGTGACACCCAGAATATAGATAATTGTAAAATGGTGGGCAGTTCTTAGAGTCTTCCTTTGAGAGGCATTCTTTCCTCCTGCATTGCCTACTGAGTGGCCTACAGGAATGACCTTACTGGCTGGACTTAGATGATTACCCAAAGGTTTCTGACTCTAATACCTTTCCCTCATCTGCCACTCTAATGTCCCCTGCAGAGCAAGATACTAAGAATACTTGTATGGGAGAGTTGCCAGTGTCCCTAGAGCTTTGTGCAGTTTGATGTCATTACTAGGACCTTAATGTACACTGTCATACAGCATTTAATATTAAATAATTATTCGACTAAATAAACAATTACCCCGGGGGAAAAAAGAACATTCTTTTGTATAATTGAAATGTCTTTAGGTATAAGAAGGGAAGTGCACGACCCACTGAAAGTTTGTTTTGAGCTTAGGTAGATCTATGATCCCTGAAATGTTCTAGACCTATAAGGGATGTGAAAGGAATATAAAACCTGCACCCCTTGTTCTCCAGGAGCCTACAGTTCAATGAGATTATGACTTTAAAGAGTTCTTTGGAACACGCTTCACAGGTTCCCACCTAGAGCAAGAATTATATTTTAAAGTAATCATACACTCTTACCTCTCCCCCAGCTTCCAATCTGCTGGCGTCATCTGAAGTACTGGTCAGGTTTCCAGGGTGAAGGAGAGAATCATCATCTTTGCAAGGACTATTGACGGCTTCTAATTCATCAAAAAGAATATTGACATCCTTGGCCACTAGAACCAAAGTAAATACATTACAAGTGGGGTTAAGAAACTGGGATCTTGAAAACAGTACTAAAAGAGAAGACATCTCCCTTTGGCTGCATATCTTCTCATTGTTCCAACCATACATTGAGTGACAGGTATATTATTTCCTAAGAGAAAAAGAATGTCAGATGTAAAACATATTTGGGTAAACAGTGTATTTTTTAGTTAAGATAAAGGAAAATGTGAAACTAAGTACCTCCATAGTATAAATATAATTTGTCTTCTGTGATAACAGCAGGTGTTGTGTTTGTTTAGCTTTCTTTCACATAGTTGTTTAGCACAAGGTACTTTCATTTAAGACTTTTAAGAACTCATTCTCTGGGTTGGAGATGACCTAGACTTTTTTACATTATTTTATTTTTTCATTTGAGTGCCATACATCTTGCTAAGTGAACTCATAAATGTGTCACTGCATGTTTAGTAAGAGCTGTGATTTTCCCCCCTCTTTTGTTACATCTCTGAAGCTGAACAGAGAAAACCTAATGCAATAATAAAACATGCAATTAGGTTTTCTGCCTTCCTTCTTCCTCTTACCATGAATTGAAATAATAAAGTGAGCCATTCAGGGACTCTTCCAAAAGACTGTTGATATTAACAACATGTCAATATATAAAGCACTGTACATCAAATTTCTAGGTACAGATTACCACGTTCACGTGCACAGGGCCTTGCAGCACACCAGAAAGGAAAAGTCAGCACCAGTAGAGAAAGAGAGACTGCAATGCCAGGTGTGGGTCCCTTCCTGACCTACCGGAATTATGGGTCAACACTGCAGTTCACTTTTTCTTTTGATGCTTTAAAAATTGTTAAGTGTTTGTAATCTGTCAGAAGCCACTGCAAAAAAATAATTTGTAGCAGACTGGGCTCTTTTTACCCAAGCACATAATATTCATTTTTTCATTCAAAACATTTTAGAGATGTGCACATTGTGTGTCAGGCACAGAGCTTTTTGGTCAGGTACTTTTTTTGGTGAATAAAAGTGGCCTGGCTTCCTGTCTTTGTGGTGATAAGTAAACAAAACAAACAAAAAAATGTAAATTGTGAATGCTATAAAGAAAGGAGCAGAGTTCAAATATAGAAAGAACAGAGATGATCTACTTAAATGAGGTAACTGGGTTCTAAAGTGATACCCAAGCATGCAATTTTAGGCTATTCACTTAACCCTTCAAATTTTTCATCTGTAAAATAAAATGGGAAATAAAATTAACATTTATTTTTTACTGTGATAGGCTGAATCATGACTCCCCCCCCTCCAAGGTAATCTAATCCCTGGAACCTGTGAATATATTATCTTATATGCCAAAGAGATTTTGTAGACATGATTAAGCCAAGGATCTTAAAATGGGGACATATCCTGGAGTATATGGATAGGCCCCATGTAATTACAATGTTCTTTAGATGAGGGAGGTAGTAGGGTCAGAGAGAGAGAGAGAGAGAGAGAGATTGAGAGCTTGAGAGATTGGAAGATACTATGCTGTTAGCTTTAAAGATGGGGGATAGGGCCATGAGCCAAGGAATGCAGGTGGCCTTTGAAGATAGAAAAGGCAAAAAAGCAGATTCTCCCCTAGAGCCTCCAGAAAGAACACAATCTCACTGACACCTTGATTTTAGGACTTCTGATTTCCAGAACTGTAAGATAATACATTTGTGTTGTTTGAAGCCACTAAGTTTATGGTAATTTGGTATGACAGCAAAAGGAAATTTAAACACTTATTATAGGTTTTTCAACCATAATACTACAGAGAAAAAAAAAACATCATGCTCTTTTCATATGACCAAGGTTTAGGAGAACTTACACTGTGCCAGGTACTGTGCTAGGTGCCACACTTTTTGAGGAAGTGATATATTTCAGTGTGTAGGGAGGTGTCAGGATTAAAGACAACCTCCCTACCCACACTGTGTAAAGAAGACCTCCATCCCCTAATTATTCTCCTCTCACTGTTCATTTCCTTCCCAGCACTGAACACAACCTGTAATTATCTTGCTTATTTATTTGTCTACTTGTTTATTGGACATTTACCTTATTAGAATGTAAGTTCCATAACGGTAGGGACCTTATCTGTCCTGACTGATGTACAGAGGCCCTGGCACAGAGTAAGTTCTCAACACATATTTGTCAAATGACAGAATGGTGATCTTAAGGTGGTCAATCTAATGATGTCGGAGAACTCCTTTCCTCTGACATTCTATGGCTCTAGGACTTTGCGTATAGGTTTTTCCTAACATGATTCTTATTTACAAGCCACAGTTCCACAGTTTCAAAAAGCGATTAAATTTTCAAGTAGCGATTGAATCTCAAGTAGATATTGATTAGATTTAAACAACAGGATAAAAATCTCATTTTAGGGCCGGCCCGGTGGCGCACTGGATAGTGCGCCGCTTGGGAAGCGCGGCGGCGCTCCCGTCCGAGGGTTCGGATCCCACGTACAGACCGGCTCCCGCTCACTGGCTGAGCGAGGCGCGGGAGCAACGCCGAGGCTTGCGATCCCGTTGCCGGTCCCCGGTCCGGTACGGGGGCAACACTGAGGGTTGCGATCCGTTGCCGGACACGGAAAAAAGACAAAAAAAAAAAAGAAATACTACTTAGACAAGGTGATAAGGGCTCTATTAACAAATGGGAATGTTTTACATGTATCATCCTGCACTCTGGAAGCCCCTTCTCTAATCGCCAGCTTTTAAACTATGTTATGAGTACAAACTTTGCCAATAATTTTGGACATCTCCCTAGCTGTTCAGTGACAGGAAATTCTACCAAAACGTGAAAAGACATTGTGGATTTTTCCATAAGTTAATAAATTTGATTTTTTTCAAGGGTATTTCAAGAAAAAAAAAAAAAAAAAAAAAAAAAAAAAAAAAAAATCTCATTTTAACAAAGTTGGAAGACCTTGATATTTCAAACTTTGCCACTTAGCCATTTGAATTTTCACTGTTGTTTCTTCACTGGAGAGACAGGGATAGAAAACCTCTCTGTCTGGGTGGCCGAGAGGATTAGATAAGATAACGTACATATTAGCAGGGTGGCTGACATGTAGCAGATCCCCGAAAAGTGTTGGTTCATCAATTCTAGACTCTGGGACTTCCAAGTTAGCATTTTAGGCTTATCAATATAAGAAGGCAGAAGAAGCATTGGTTGCAACGGTTGTCATGAGGAATGAATTGGGATGATAAAGGGGGAAGCTAAAGAGGACACTGAGAATCACGCCTGTACAACTGGCTCACACTAGGGAAAAGCTCTTGAATATATACTCATCCCTCCATCAGGTTGCCCCTATGCTTTTTCCAAGGAGAGAAAATTACCAGGTCATCTTCTGCCAGTATCACTTTCTGATGTTGGTACAATCAATTCAACAAATCCCTCTATGTCTGGGACTGAGTTTGTCTCCCAGGTGACATTTGGTATTGTTCAAAGACTTTTCTTGTCGTCACTAGGGAGAGGGGGGCAGTGCTGGTGGTATTTAGTGGGTAGAGGCCAGGGATGCTTCCAAACATCTTACCATGCACAGGACAGTCCCTACAGCAAGGAGTTATCTAGCCCAAAATGTCAATGGTGCTGAGGGTGAGAAACTCTACTCTACATTAAAGACCCAACTACTTCATTCTAGAGGGAGCAGCTAACTTGGGGAAGAGAGAGAAGCCCTATTGCTGCCCATCAGAATTACTGTCTGAAAGTCATTATGGTGCAGCTCAGAGAAATCAATATGTCATGGCAATCTGATGTTTAGAGAATAAGTGGTATTAAGGCATCATCACCTCAATAGCTTCAGCAGAGATTAGAAATGCTGAACTATCAGAGCATGATCAGCAAACACATGGTCAGTGAGAAGACTGCAGACCATAAAAACTTTCCACAGGCATAAGAAACATGTCCCCTTCATCAATAGTTCACCATTGTTTCTGGTATTACCAGCTTTAACCACAAAGTAAGTTTTAGGCACAAAATAAAATATTCTTTGATGCAAACTTACAATGTTTCTCTAGGGAGAAAAAGCAAGCCTCAATTTCCAAAGTTAACTAATTTTTAAAAATCTATTTATTCAACAAGTATTTATTGAGTGCGTACCATGGCCAGACACTGCGCTGAGCTAGAAGCTGGGGCTGATGTACTGGACATGACAGTCACGGCCCGTGCTGTGACGGAGCTCACTGTCCAGCCACAGTGGGAGTGGAGCCTCTCTATCCATGGGCCTGGATGTCACAAAGATGCTGTTCATCCAAATAAGGTCACTTGTTAATGAAGTCCATTGCCTCCTTTATACTTTTTTTTCCCAAATAGAAAAACGTTTGATAATTACTGGTCTGGTAGAATTCTATTAGCCTTATTAAATGAGAAAGAGAGCCAAATGCTCTGAGGAGTCAATTAAGCATAAGGGAGAAAAAACGCAAAAAATCCATGCAAGAAGTAAGGGATATGCACTGCATTCAGACTCAGGAAGAGCTGTTCTGTGAACAGGACTGGTGAGCACGGATGGGTCAGGGTTTGTGGATACCATGTATTTGGGAAGGCAAGGGAGATAACCCAATGACTCTCTATTGCAAAGATTAGGAAATCAGCCTAAAAAAACTTGGAAGAGAACAGCAGGGACTCACATGTAACAACTGAACAAGAATCGAGGACCTCATTTGGATCCCTGTATCAGCCAGCTGAAAAGAATCAAGGACCTCAAATTGCCTGGGAGGCCAAAGATCAGCTAGAAAGTCTAAGGAAAACAGAGAAAAGAGACTTCTGTGGCCTGGATCTTTACATTCCCAGGATGGGGGAACAGCAGAAAGAGCAGAGGGCCAGGAGGCAGCAGATCCTGACATTCTTCCTGTGATGGAAAGGTGAGTTTACTTTGGTAGTATTGAATCTACCCATCAAATATTTGCAATTATTTCAATTATTCCTCCAGGGAAATCATTTGAGATGTTAGCTATCGTTAATTCTCTCAGGAAAAGAGATTATAAATACACAGCAAGGACTCTAATAA